ATACAGCCAGAATGCTCATTAGAAATTAGGATGGTGAGATTTCATTCATTAGAAGATCTTGCCTTAACTCCCTTGGCAAATACGATCATTCACTAAGGAAGTCCACTCTACTACCCCACCACTGGCATAAGCTATCAACAACAACCTTCTTGAGAAAATTGAGAAACCTGCACATGTGGCAGCAGACGGCACCATAACGGAAGCATTCCTGGAAGTCACAGCTCTGAGTTCCTGCATATGCTTCCAGATGCATTACTTGAACATTTCCATAGCAGTGACATTGTACCGGCATCATCCTAATGGCTTTACCATTATTTTCTCACGTATTATTTATATACTGTGGACACTCAGAAGTGGCAGCAGAAGTAAAGTCCTATGACTAGGAAGGGAAACAGCAAGGAGGGAGACAATCTGAGCTGTGGACTTTACGCTGTCCAGAGGATGCAGCCATTTTGAGTATTTAAAGTGACTGAGGGTGCAGTCATTTTGAATCTTGACAAGTGGTGGCCATTTTGGATTTTAAAGTGACAGCACTCTCATTTGGATTCCAGGGACCTAAGAATAGGCTGGGTTTGCCAAGGACGGCAGGGACATACATGAGGCTACCAATGGGAAAGGAGACAGGTGGTGAGTGTATAAGTGCTGCCAACTAGTGAACAGAGGAGCACAGCACAGTATCTGGCTTACATCGATAACATACAAAGAAAACAAAAATTGTGGGCAAGTCACTCCAACAGACAATCACCAAATTAAATATAAACACAAAACATCTCAATGCCTCAGAAACAACAGAGCATCAAAGTCCCCACAATGAAGCAAGATAAAGCAGGAGAAACAAGGAACCAGGATACAGACCCAAAACACATCCCTAAGGAAGACTCAGCACTGGAACTCCCTGATAAGGAATTCAAAAGAATTATATTTAGGTATCTTCAACAAATTGAGAGACAGATCAAGGAAAACACTGGCAAATTGAGGAAAACACAGAAAACCCTAGACCAATTTTGAAAGACAATACAAGAACAAAATGACAAAATAAATGAAAAATTAGAAATGATACTAAATCTACACACAGAAATCCAGAAGACTGATACTAACTTTTCAGAAATAGATAAGACACTGAATGAGCAAAGGAGTAGAATTGAATAAATGGAAGACAGAATTAGTGAGATTGAGGCAAATACCTGAATACTTCTTTAGAAAGTGATCAATCAGAAAAAAGATCAAAACAAAATGAAGAAAGTCTAGGTTCATGTGGGATACCATCAAAAGGAGTAACCTACGTGTAATTAGAATTCCAGAACAGGAAGAGACAAATTGTCGAAGATTTGTTGGAAGATTATTTTCCTGGTATGATGAAAGATTAGAATATATTAATTCAAGAAGTCCAACGAACCTCAGACAGGATAGACCCCAAAAGAAAATCACCAAGATATATCATCAAACTCACCAAAACCAAAGACAAAGAAAGAATCCTGAAAGCAGCACAGGAAAAAGAAAAGTTACCTTCCAGGGGCAACCAATAAGACTAAGCTCGGATTTCTCAGCAGAAACCATTCAAAAAGATGATGGGATGGTAAATATGAAACACTGAAAGAGAAAAATTTCCAACTAAGAATTATGTACGCAGCAAAACTGTCCCTCAAGAATGCTGT